TGTACGTCCGACGGGCATTGGGAAGCTTCTGCGATGCAGCAGGCCGAAAATTCGATTGCACCAGCGTGGCAGCCAATCCCTCTACGATTCATTCATTCGTTTCGGTGGTAAATTGGTACTGGCATATTCTTTATCCAGCCCACTCAATGCTTCATCACCTGATGACCAGTCTGTTAGTGGTCCTGGCATTCGTTTTGTCGCCTGAAGAGATTATCAGCTCAACGGATCCCCAAAGCTTCGAGATCTCCTTGGAGGATGTTCAAGCATGGCCTGCTCTTGAATCCTGCCATTATGCGAACGCGATGTTACCCTAGCAGAATATCGACAATAAGACAGCATATAAAGGAAAAGTGTTGTTTTATTTTGGATGAGATGGAATTGTCAGCAATGCAGTAACACAAGGCCAGGCCTCATCACCAAATATCAATCATTTTTTTGATCCTCGAATCGATTATCAAAAAGCTGTCGCAGATACTTCAGGTCCTTGATGATCTGTTTTGCATCGCCATCATAAACTCGTAATTCGTTTAGCCTATCCCCATCGACCAAAAGCTGCAATGTTTCTTCTGCGTTTGGTGTAGGCACTAACTCCTTTTATCAGTAATATTTTTATCACTACCTTGTCTTTTATTCTATATCTTTGTTATTTTTCAAAATACTTTAAGTGCTAAAGATAGTCAGAGTAGTGCATGGGTGTACAATACCAAATGACGAAAATTGTCTTGCACAACCGTTAAAACTTTCGCTGCTTTTGTTAACACACAATTGACTGCACAGACAGAACAGACTTCTCAGATAGCAACTTCCTTGCTTGATCACTTTCTTTGAAAGACAGAGGCACTTCAAAGTAGCTAGAGTGATAGCAAGAGCCAACAGTCCACTGGCAAAATTCTTTCAGTAGTTGCTTAGAAGCAAGTTGATGACAGGTTTGCCTTCCTGGTATGCGTCAGCACCAATTTACCACCAAAACAAGTGATCGAAAAGCAGTGGTAATTGCTATTACGCCATGCCAGCCAGCATGCTGAGATTTAGTTAGTTTTTACTGAATCCGTACCAATATTGCACTTATGACTAAAAGGTTGTCATAACTGTATGTGCCGTGTTTATTGCATAAAATTGCTCATAAGTATTACACAAACATGGGCCATGGATATTATATAAATGCAAGATAAAGCAAAATAAAGTACAGGGCGGACAGAAGGCTAACCACTAGGTGACGTAGCACTGATAAAAACAACCATGAAATTTGACACAGTGTGGTTGTGTTGGATAATTGGTTGGAGAGATATTTTTTAGCAGTAAGCCGACAGCCGTCTCAAGATTTGCGTCGCAAAATAAGTCTGACTAGTTTGCTGGATTAGGTCAAAAAGCGAGTAATTTTGCAAAGTAAACCTTAAGATTGGCGATATTGTTGCGAACTTTGCGCATTGTTAAATGGCATTCATTCAATATTTGCAAAAAACGATTTGTTTTCGAATCCGCTAAGTAGCTCCTTCGCTAAAATTTTCGGA